TACGAATAATCTTGCGTTTCGGCTGATAAAAATGAGTGTTTTTTCCTTACAGATGTTGCGAGGTAAAACCGCGCATTTTAATCAGACGGAATGCAAGATCTTTTTGTGGTGAGGTCTATTGAAATGAAAACCCTGCGTAATCTCTGGAGATTTTACAAAAGAATTCTATTAGGATGTTCGCGGTCTGCGAGCAGATCCTCGCGTATGTTTTTCTCACATCTTGCACGATTGAACTATCTTGAGCTTGTGAATTGTATAGATTAAAAATGCTATTTATATTATTGATTGCAAAATCATGTCCGTCGCAAGATCTCATGAGATTTTATCTGTTCAGGAAAATCGCAAACTTTTCAATTTTACTCGACAAATTTGTACAGATTCTTTTAAAAAAACTTTTCTCAGTTCGAAAAACTTTCTAAAGTCTGATAATCTAGATTTCTACATCATTTTGTATGGAGAATCCGAAAATCGTATTTAAAAATAAAATCATTTTTTTACCGTTTAATGGATTCTTCACAGCATTCTAGATTCTTTCATCGGATCTCTCTGAATGTCATTGCATGAGAAAAACGCCTGCTTACCACAGAAACATGCTCAACGACTATCTCAGATTTCTTTTTAAGCAGTCTTATCTTGTAGTGCATGCTCGAAAACCTATACTTCCAAAATTTTAACCTGATGGGACTGCAGGTTTCAGAGATACCGCAAGAGTTTTCGAGAGTGCTTAGCATCAAACTTTGGCGCCGGACAATTGAAAGAAAACCTAAAAATGCCATTACTCCGTCAATAAGAATGTTCAGAGTGAGATTTTTTCGCCATATCTAGTCTATGATGTCCTCTATTGATGACATAGTTATATTTCTTTTACCTCGAATCTTCAGTTCAAAAGCCCGAGTTTCTGGACAGTCGTATAGGTTAGGCTTGCTAGTTTCCGTTCTCGAGGGCTTCTACCTACAACGAATCCAAAACAATTTTTCCTTATGCATTCAGCCATGGACAATCTAAAGCCGTTTACAAAATATTGGGCTCTAGAAAAGGTCTCTGGAAAATCGACATAGGTTTTCTAGAAAACTCTTGAGCTTCTTTGAAAAGTTTGTAAATTATGTAACCAAAAAGAGCATAAAATTCTGAACAAAATGATGGATGATTCAGTGTCCTTTAAGTTTACCTAAGTCGAAAAATCGACATGTAAAAAATGCTGTTTCTAATCTAAGATTAGGTATGCACCACTCTCTAAAAAAAAAGCAATCACCAGCCGTATGAAACCTTAAAAAGGTACATAGATGGTGACAAAAGTTTAAACCTTTTTTAGGTTCGGTAGAGTACCTTTTTTGTTCAGAGAGCGGTACCAGTAATTATACTGGTATACCGGACCAGTATTTACTGGGTACCCAAATAGTTTGGTAAAAATTTGTCACAGCAATAGCTTGTAACTTTAAGGGCTTTTTAACACAAATATTTGATACCTACGGAGATTTAGTGGTGTTGTTTAAGTTTAATGAGAGGTTTTATGGGTTAAGATTTTCTAGGCGTTACAGAAACTACGTCATCAAGCGATATAAAGCTCGGAACGCCGTCTAATAATGTATAGCTTGAAGTTTTTCACAGTACTATTCCATTTTAAAAGGGCAAAAGTAAATAGTTATATTATTGTGTAAAATTCAATGTAGGTATTAGATGCCATTCTACATTTCGTATAGCATAAGCGCATAATTTCTGTAAAGCCTAGAAACATATTAATCTATAAATACCTGCATTCAACATTATCTCTTTGTCTAGGTACCAAACATTTCTGCTACAATGCCCAAACTATTTGAGTAGTTATATGGGCCCCCCTATGGGCATGCTTTGGGCAACTACAATGCATTTTGTTCAGACTTTTATACTCTTTTTGGTTATGTGATTTATAAATTTTTCAACGAAGCTCAAGAATTTTCTAGCAAATCTATGTCGCTTTCTAGTGTCAACGTATACTCTACAAGATAAGTACGGTTAGGAAAATATCTAAGATGATCAGTGAGCATGGATGGGCGTAGTTCTCGTGCAGTGACTCCTAAGTCCTTGGCGATTTTCGGTTTTAGAAATGTCAGATTCCAGAGATGGGCGCGTACGAGTATACTCGAGTACAAAATTTTCAGTACTCGCACTCATACTCGGGACTTTTTTTTAAGAGTACTTAAAAATGTACTCGAGTATTTTCGAGTACTTGAAATTTTTTAACATATAATAACCTATAATTAAAATAATTCTTTACCTGAGTATTTTCTTCTTTTAAAAATTTTTGTATTCGGGTACTTTTTAGAAAATACTCGTACTCATACTCATACTCGACAGTACTCGTACTCGTACTCAAGAATCTGCATACTCGCCCATCTCTGTCAAATTCAGTTGTCTATTTAGAAAGCAAAAAAATTCTCAAGTGCCTTAGAAGCAGCTAGCAGAATTTCTTTGTTTCTCGCGTATTTCAGAAGAATAGCGCAACATTTTGTCTGTCCTGGTAAGTTATCGCAAAACTTACAAAAAAATTTTCCACTAGGTTGTACCTAACCGGTCTGCTTTTCTTGTATTGGCTTTTAATATTTCTGTTACCATAATTTCTTCGTTCATTTTAGTACCAACTAAAGTATTTTACCGGAATTGAGTTTGATTTTTAAAATATCAATCTCGCAAAATCGGCTGCTTTTGTGCGAAAAATCGCAAAATTTTCCTAGAAAACAAATGCAAATCTATTTGAATCTTTACAACAGCGTTTGCTGCTTTTATAGTTTTTCGTTTTCCAAGCGAACAAATTAAAGCTTATTTTTATTCGTTTAGTGCCTTGTTGGTCGACGGGTGGGAGAGAGCGGCTATTATGCTACTCCAACGAGAAAAATGACTCTTCCACGAGAATTTTCTATCTCCTCATAGAAACTTTCTTGTCTAGCTCACGAGAATAATACTTTTGTAACCTATGATTAGTGCGACAACGTCATATGTCCCAGAAGCTGCATAATTCTCAGGGTATTAAGATTACTCTCACCGAGGAAGCCATATTTCTCGTGTAAAAGCATTGTTCCCGTCACCTAAAGAAGAAAGTTTCTATGAGGAGATAGAAAATTCTCGTGAAGAGAGCATAATATCGGGTAGATTCTATGCATAATTCTCACGCAAAACAGCATAATTCTCGTGTAAAAGCATTATTCTCGTGACATATACAAGAAAGTTTTATCAGAAGATAGAGAATCACAATGCATAAAAAAACGTCTATATCACGAGGATAATGCTTTTACACGAGAATTATGCTGTTTTGTGTGAGAATAACTCGCATCGATGAGACCATATTTCTCGTGTAAGTGCATTATACCCGTGACGTAGAGAAAAGAGTTTCAAAGTATGATCATATCTGCTACATTGTGCATAAGTCTCACACACAGCAGCAAAATTCTCGTGTAAAAGCATTATTCTCGTGATATAGACAAGTTCTTTTGTGCATTGTGATTCTCTATCTTCTGATAAAACTTTCTTGTATATGTCACGAGAATAATGCTTTTACACGAGAATTATGCTATTTTGCGTGAGAATTTACATAGAATCTACCCGATATTATGCTAGTTTCGTAAATTTATCACCTCTGCTGTTTTGTAATAATAATTACCATTGTTTTTCAAATAATATTGCTCATCGGAATCATGTTTACAATTCTTATTTTTCAATGTTATTCTTAAACGACATATCAATACATGTTTACATGGTAAGCGAGCGATAGAAAATGTTTTGATAATAATATTATCGTCATTAGAATCATCGATCAAACGGATTTCGTTTTTGTTCACATTTTTTTCTTATCCATTTTTATCTGTCATAATACAGTAAATATCTTCTGTCACCAATATCATCAATAAAGATGTAGTTACCTTTCCAATATGTACTTTAATAAGTGTCAGAATAACAAATGAAAACGAAAATAGTTCTATACAAATACCAGTAAAAGGAAAATCCATGGCCGTTTGAAATATTTTAGAATACCTCAATGAACAATCGAAAGTAAAAAGTTGTCCTGATATTATTTTTAAGTTGAAAATTTTTTAAATAACTGCACATTGTAGAAAAATGTTCAGCGACATTTTAAAATAAATATTGTCAAAAATCTCTTTTCCTTACTATTAAATTGAAATTTTTCAATCGAAAAGTTGAACTCTTTTAAAGCCAAAATTTCTCAATTTGTTTTCATAGCAACAGATAATTTCAAATATACTATTAAATATACTATTAAATAGTGCGTGAAAAACTGAACAAACATACGGATGTGCGAGATTTCAAAAACGAATGTAACAGAAAGGATTTTCTAGAAATCTTAATGATGTTCGGTCCTTTTCAACAATATCAAGTGGTACGTGGAGCGATCATCTTCTTTAATTTGTTCAAATCTGATGATAGGTTCATCATATTTAATTAAAATTCCCTTACAATTCAACTAGTCTTACAAGACAGTGATCAAAACTTGCTGGACTTTTTTATTAATATAACTACGCCACTAAAAGCAAAAATTAGTTAGGTGTTCTATAACTATAAATTAGTTGGTAGAGACAGAATAAATTATAAATGTTCTTCGGTACTTTTTAATATTTTATCGAAAACTATACCGAAAATGTGAAGGCATTTAAACATGTAATTTTTAAATAAATCACTAATAATATATCACACTAATATACCATCTAATACAAAGGACAACCAGTACTGAAGTTGTTCTATTGAGAGTTATTGTCAATCAGCCGGAAGAGACTGATATATCAAACACTTGTATCACTAATGAATACTATTTATGTATTGATAGTGGAGAGATTGAAATGTATCTGTCCAAAAGCATTGATAATACAGTAAAGGTTTATGTTAATAATTTACCAACTCTTTTTTATCAACTAGAATTTATTATACCACCCCCTACTTCGGAAAAGACTTCAATTTTGTTCCTTCTTCCGACAAGCAAACGGTAACAATCAGTCATTTTCAAATACGCATATATGGGAATCATGAATTTTCGATTTTTGAAAGAAATGTCAGTCATTAACAATGATGACACAGTTTTATCAGTATTATGTGATCATCGAAGTGCCACAGTTTATCGTGTATCTATTGCTGATATTGTTAAAATACGTCTTGAATCCGGCACTGAATCAATAACCATTAATACATTTGAATCAGTCCGGTTATGTGATGTTCTGCAGAGACACTATCTATGTTTCAAAAATACTGAAATCGAAGATATTACTCTTTTTCATAATCAAACATTTACTGCTAATGTTTATTTACCGGTAATGAACTTCTTGACACTTTACACGGTTGGTGGCAATGAAGATGTACTTACCTTTCCAATATGTACTTTAATAAGTGTCAGAATAACAAATGAAAATGAAAATAGTTCTATACAAATACCAGTAAAAGGAAAATCCATGGCCGTTTGAAATATTTTAGAATACCTCAATGAACAATCGAAAGTAAATGAAATAAATCACAAATACTCGTTGATTGGTAGTTTAACACCAGAACGCCCGTTTCTGACCGTTTTTAGATTTTTATCACTAATACAACAAACTGCATACAATTTATTTAAAAATAAATCAGTAAGTATCTTCTGTCACGAATATCATCCAAGTACTATCATGCATATTTCGTATGAACGGTGGTTTCATAGATGATTCAATAAATAAACATTTTTTCTTCACTTCTTCATGAACAAACATATTGTGTAAACATGGATGTTCAATTGTACGTACCATGACTGGCAATACAGACAAAATGAGTTGTTTCAAATCCAGTGCACTTCATTTCATGCTGTCGATAGTGAGAGAGAAAACATCTTTTTTTACGAAATCAACTGTTTACTTTCGAGTGGGCGGCGAACTAGATAAATCATTGAGGTAGATACGACATATAATCTTTAAACTTGTAAATAAGTATTCAAAATCCATTTAAATAGACCCAGATCTATCGGAAGTGGTCTAAGCTATTTGGAAACTCCATGCAGCACAATGATATTACCTTTGCAGGCTGTATGGCCTGACTTAAGATTTAAAACTCTTTTATTTTTGTTTTATTCCGAAATTTGACTTATCTCACCTTTAATTATGACATATTATTTTTCGTCTTATCAGTTTTCTTGGTGCACGAACAAATAAGACTCATTGATAGTGTCAGATGAAGTAACATATTTATTTGCCTGCAATAACCGAATTCTAAAACACGAATCGAGTATGATACGATGATTGTGCAGAACAAAAACCATACATACACATGTTGGATCCGATTATGACTAACAGTAACCAACATGTCGTAATTGACATGGATGAAACTGTTTGTTCAATATCAGAAAGTATTAATTTATGCAGTCAAAAATTGAATGAAAAGAACTTTATAATCATCTGGTTTACAAGAGACGTTACACTGATATCATCGTACAATATTCCTCAAATGTTTATGGGCACTTCCGTTGAGAT